AAAGGATGAAGCTGGGCTGCTCCTTGGCGCCAAAGGATTCTGAAGCTTCATCTGACTTGATATACTTTGAGTATACTGCAAGGAGGGACTTGTCCTTGGAGAGGTACATCATGTTGGGGAGAGTGGAGGGATGGCACAGGAGAGGAAGACCCTTGATGAGATGGATTGATTCTGTGATTGGGGTGATGGGAATAAGTGTGTCGGAGACAGCAAGGTTAGCACAGGATAGAGCAGTGTTTAGGGCTCTTATACACAGGGTTGCTATGAGTTGCAAGCGACTCGACAGCACATAACAACAACATGTCTGCCTCTCTCCCCTCATGTTAGGTTCCATATCTTGTTCATCATTTATTTTGGACTCTTATCACAGACTTTAGTATATTTTAAATTTCTATTGTACATTTGCTGATCTGAACTCCACCAGATTTTGGATCCCCAGGAAGTTATCGTATTCACTTATCCCAATCATATTTATTGAATGAATTTTTCTATTACGAACTTAGTTCTGTATATACTCGTGAACAGATGAATTCTCTGTTCTCATGGAGCCCATATTTTAATAGAGGAAGATTGCTAATAATCAAATAAACATGTGAACAAAGATACATAGTCTGAAAGTAACAAATAAGGTAATGATTGAGAGTAAGAAGGTTGAGGGGTGGGGCAGGTTATCAGGTGTTACTGCCAGCAAAAACTATAAAATTACAGAAGGGGAAAAAAATCTTAGCGTTTCCCCCCCCCCTGTTTCTGGAAAGGTTCTGCTGATATTGGAAATACAGTGACATACACAAGCTAATGCATATCTACTTATGCTTATATTTGTAAGCACAAACTGCATTCAAGCATTTATGTAAGTCTTAATAGTAAGTATTACAGCAAAACACCTTTGTATAATGTTACACAGATTTTATTCTATGTCCACTGTTTTGTGTAGAAAATATCTTACTACCTCCATGCTATGAGGAGAGTAACTAAGACTCAAATAAGGTCAATGATTTATTTAAAGATATAGACAATGATAATGCTGCTTTTCTTCAAACAGGCTTTCTACTTTAAAACTCAGTATTGTTTTCTTTCTGAAAATCTGATTTCCTCAAAGCCTTTTAAAATTCCATTCTTTCTACAGGAAGTTCTAAACCATTTCTTTTACTCTTGCTGGGACTTTTTTTAAGTCTCTCTAGTATTTCTCTTGAAAAGGTCAACTATTGTCATGGTATGTGTTTAGGCATCTCAAGAAAGTCATATAGTTAATAGCAACAGAACATTCATCTTAAGAAATACATTTCCTAATTCACAATCACTTGTTATACATCAGAGAGTTGGACAATGACCAAGGAGGACAGAAGGAGAATTGATGCCTTTGAGCTGTGGTGCTGGAGAAGAGTATTGAGAATACCATGGACTGCTAGGAAAACAAACAGATTCATCCTGGAAAGGGTTAAACTGGGTGGCTCTTTGGAGACAAGGATTCTGAGGCTCCATCTAACATATTTTGGACATGTTGTAAGAAAAGACCGGTCCTTGGAGAGGGACATCATGCTTGGGAGGGTGGAGGGACAGCGCAGGAGGTGAAGGCCCTCTATGAGATGGATTGATTTGGTGACTGGGGTTACGGGATGGGAGTGTCAGAAACAATGCAATTGGCACAAGACAGAGCAGAGTTTAGGGCTGTTGTGCATAGGGTCGCTATGAGTCGCAAGTGACTCGGCAGCACATAACATACCAACATGTTATTTCACTCAGCAAATATCAGTGGAAAAGTGTGCATGATGCTAGAGACCATTCTAGGCGCAGGAGATACAACAAGAACAAATGTAAGACATGAAGAGGTCAAACATAGGCAGGCGGCTGTGTTATGTGCAGACACAGATCTCTTCTTACTGGTGACTAAGGTCTGTAGGAAACCACAGTCGTCTGATGTTGGTTACTCTTCACTGTAGCTTTTAGAAAGCAGGGCAGCATGTATACAGGTAAAATCCACAGCCACTCTGGCTCAGTATCTGGGGCATATTTCAGCTTTTACATGGGTAGTAACTGGAGCCCAAGAGATAAAATCTCCTTTGTGCCACGCACACAAAGGAAGCATCATGATCTGGAAGAGAAACTTCACTGTTCTTTCCATGTGTTCCAAATCTGAGCAAAGTGGCATATAAAAGTACCCAGTTCTACTGAGGTCAACAAGTGGCAAAAGAATATAGAAGAAGAAAAAAAATGAGAGAGATATGAAAGGGAAGAAGGAAACTGTGAAGAATGGAAATCATTCCACGAGTAAATAGTCAAAGTACACAAGCAGAATTTGTCAAGGAGTTAAATGCCAGAGAAACCGGAAGTTCCCATCTGTTTGCTAATTTGTCAAAGACACATCCTAAGAACTAGAGAATTTTCAAGACTTGCACTCAGAAAAGTGAGTTTTAATAATTAAACAAGGGAGGGGAGGAAAATACCAGCAGTACATTAGGCTCAAAGCTATGTGGTCAAAGAGCTCAGACAGATGAGAAAGCCTTCAAATTTATCTAGAAAGACAGTGTTGCTGACCATACGAAGATCTGGGACTCCACGTCAAGCCTTCCCATTTCCTCTGCCATTTCTCTCAGTGTTTTACCTTTCTTTTTTCTAACTTGGTCGAGATTGAAATAGAAATTCATGCTGCTGAGAGATGCATATTTTAACACTAATTACTGTTCTTTCCATTGACACTTATTTTCAGAACTACCTTTAACTTTGAAGTTATTATACCCAACTTCTCACGGACTTTTGAAGCTTCTTTCTGACTTTCCACCAAGACAGTGAGACAGCGAGAGAATGCAAACATTCTCTTATGTATTATGTCTATTAGAGTATGTCTATTTTAATCCTTTCAGTTTCTACCTAGGGAGCTCTAGTGGCCTAATGATAAGGAGTTGCACTGCCAACCCAAAGGCACATTGTTCAAGTCCACCTGTTCCTCCATGAAGGAAATATGGTCACTCTTCTCCTGTGAAAATCCACTGGAGGGTCATCTATGTATGAGTGAGTTTTGACTTAAAAGCACACAACAGCAACAACATCAGTTTCTACATAAGATCTTTAAGTTTTTATAGGGCCTTTTTCAAAGTGTTTTAGGGATATCCTTCCTGATTAATAGACAAAAGATTTGTGGTTGGTAAATTGCTTGTCTCAAACTACATAATGAAGACTCACAAATGGTTCCATGTAGCAACGTGTTGTCACTTCTAAATTTTGTCTCAAGGAAAATTCCATCCCCAGGGCTGTCCCACTGTAGAAACGGACAATTATTCTACAGCAATCAATGCCTTCTTCATTCATTAATGAAGCACCTACTAATAGGACTGTTTCTCCAGCAGAGTGTGATTTAACAATGCTTAAGAGTCTTTGGTCATTCATTAGACAGTGAGCAGTGTGAGCCTTTACTCTTTGCAAACGGGAGTAAATTCCCTGGGAAGAAGTTCTCTATTTCTGGAATGACAGTAGAGCGTCAAAGTCAACAGCCTAGGTAAGGGCCACCAAACACTGAGAAGGAAGTACTCTTGAGTTTTCTACTATAATTTATCTTTCACACTGAGAAAGATACAGAGTTGTAATTGGATTTTCTCCAGCTTTGTCTTATCTCTTTTTTTCTTTTTACCCCTTCCTTTAAATTCACATATACTTGATTACAAGACCCAGAGCAAATGTTGTTACATCTCTAAAACAAACTTCCAGCAAAAAAAATTTATGTTTGCTCTATTCAATTAGAACCCTTGGACTGTGGCACAGAGCACCAGATTGTCCTTCTCTGTAATTAGTCACATATTGATTGATCTTATCTTCCTTCTTTGATAACCTATTCTTTGAGCATGGAGACCACAGTCTCAAAAGAGCCACTGCATTTAGTTACAGCAGCAAAAAAGGGTATCTAATAATCATTTGATAAATTGAGTGACTCACTAAATACTTATTGGACACATTCTACATGCCAGGCGTAAGAGATACAAACCCCGTCTCAACAATGCTCATAGCCAAGTGGTATGAGTGAATACACACACAATGCCATTTTAGATATAACTGATGTTCAGCACATTCCAAATAACTATAATAAGAATAAAACATGCCCTGAGAGAAGGCTCATAATATGTCACAAAGGATTTTCATCTACAAGAAGGAACACTGTAAGGTTTTCAAGGAATTTCCCCAGGGACATGGTATAGATATCTTAGGCAATCAAGCTTAGCTTAAACAAAATGTGCAATGCACAGTTCTGATGACAGACTACTTGGGAAGAATTCTACCAAATCCAGACTGTTTCTTTTGCCTCAACAATTGACCTCAGAGATTGAACTTACACTTGACCAATGCTCCCTTGCTCTCAGACAGAAGTCTCGACATAATAGCTATAATAGTAATGAATGTGAAATAGCAAAGCCCCACTGCTTTCTCATAGCTACTGGCTTTCAGAGGGAAATAAAGGGGGAAAGCAATCTTCCAGGCTTCACTATTGCATTTCAAGAATTTCCTTTCACCTCAAGTAATGAGACGCTTGGGGACAACAGATTTGGCAAGGTATAACAATACAAATATCATATTTCAGACAAGATACACAGCCACAAATTAAGCCATTTTAGCTAAAGCTTCCCTACTTGCCAAATAAAGCTACCATGTTAAACTTGACACACATCTAGTTCCTTCAAATGTGATTTCAAAAGAACTTTCATCTGGATAAACTCAGTATTATTTAATGTATAATGCACTCACGACATGTGGGATAAGATTTCCTATTAGTTAGATCACTGAGCCATTGAGTACTGCACTCAATTCAAGGTGACACAGCAATCTAAATTGAAACAAATACCCAAGTCATATGCTCACAAGTCCCAATGTTTTTTTGCATCTCTTCCATCCCCCCCTAAAAAATAGGGTTTTTAGAAGAGATTAAAGGCCAGATCCTGGCATTGATATGGGAATCTCATGCGTTCTTAAACAGTCACGCCATGTATTATTCAATAGTGGTCTGGGAACTTTACCTCTTTGAGGCAGCCCATGAAGTTGTTGCTGACTGGGGAACCTGGTAGGTCAGCAGTACTTGGGCTTCCTCCCACGTAGAAGAAGTCATCCGAGCCCAGCATGGTGTAGTCCTCCTGGGTGTAGCCCGTTGTGGTAAGAATGCCATCCACTGAGATTGTCACCTGGTAGAGGGACATAGGGACAAAAAAAAAAAAAAAAAATTCCCAGCAATGATTTTACAGTCCTTAGAAAATCCGATGACTTCCCTACCTGTAGCATTGTGTTAAGGTTTTGGTGAGGTATTCTTTCTAATTTGGTTTGATTTTTGTTATGCGCAGCCAAGTTCCATTTTCTGGTCTGCCTTCCCTGTGGTCCGAGCCTCCAGTACTCTCCTGCAGATTCATGGGAGAGTTTGTTGCCATCGCCAAGCTGCAAGCCTAGTTCTACCCACTGCACTCCCTACCGAGCCAGGCTAGAAAATGGAACCAACCTCAGACGATATCATTTGTCTCAGTTCATTGGCTAAATGACCACTTATTTAGTAAATGATTGTTGTTTATGGTGGCAGTGAAAAACAGCAAAGGAGACATGTGACAATGGCATTAGGGGTTGGTCTTTGGTTGTAAATTATTTTTTTTTTCTTTTCTTTTTTCTTTTTAGTTCTTTCTTTGTCATCTCGTACCACACTGACAAGCATGCATTCAGGGAGGGGAGGAAGGGTCTCACTTTTGATGTGTCATGACTGATGCATGCCATGGATGATTCCAGGACACTGACCCCTCCCTTCCCTCCGCTGCCACCACCACCTCCACCAACAGAAGAACCCCCCAAACCAAAAAGGCAACCAACACAAAGAAAGAAACAAGAAAGCATAATAACCAAAATGGGGAAGAGTAATAGTTTCCCACAGGGAAGAGCTGGCACCCACACACACCCACACCCATGAGAAGAGCAGAGAGCAGAGGAAAGATGAACCACGGAGCATGCGCACACTGCATAGCTGACACACCATGCCAAAAAAAAAGGAGGGAAGCCCAGGAGAAGGCAGAACTAAACAGGTCAGGGCAGGTGGAGTGAGGGGGCGGAGAAGAAGAAATTAAAATCCACTCCACACTCACATTCACAGAACAAACACGATGAAGGTGAGAGAGAAACACAAAACACTCAACACTAAGGGGTAGGGTTTTGTTTTGTTTTTTTTCCTGCCTGCCACCTCCCTCACTGAAGAGAAAAAGAAAAGAAAAAGTCCAAACCCAACCCCGAAAACACATGAAAGATGGAGTGAGAATGGAAACGAAGAGTGGGGAAAAGAAAGCGAAGAAAGTGGGAGTGGAATGATGGGTGGGGGGTTGTTAGTAACGAGGAGGGGAACGAGGGTGTGGTTGCTGATGCCAATGGGAAGTCCACGAGACCAGACGGGAACATGCCATGCAGAGCTGTACTGAGAACACAACTGGTGGGGCTCCCTGCGGCCACAGCAGGGGAGTGAGGTCAAAGAGGGGGGAGGAAGAGTCTGGAGGTACGTTCCTCCCCAGATCCTGTGGCTACATGTCCACACAAAAGGGAGAAGGCTAAGGGCTTCAGGAACAGGAGAGAGGAAAAAGAAGGGAGGAAGCTCTGTAGGGACAGGAAGACAAAACAAAGGCTCCATCACAAATCTCTGTCATCCCTAGGCTGTAACTTGCAAAACAAGAACACAAAATGAAAGAAACTTAGCTAAATAGGAAGAAGTCTTTTTTAAAAAAAATAGTTTTAGGGGAAAAAAATTTAAAATTGAGAAAAAACAGCTGTACCCAACCAAACTCAAACCAATCTCATTTCGAGGACAGTTGTATCCCTTTCCTCTATTTTGGTTTTAATTTTTACAATAAAGGTTTCTATTTCCTTAAAAATAAAATTGTAAAAGTAGAGAGAAGTCTAAAGAGCATAAAAGAGGGGTCAGGGAGGAGAAGGAAGGCAACACACGGCAAACCCAAAAAAAGAGACAATAAGAATGATATCTACCAGACAATGTAGTTTGTTTACCATAGCGTGTCCAATGCCTGAGTGCTTTGCGGAAAAGGGGGAAGAAAGGAAATTAAAAATTGTGAACAGAACGATTGTTAATTAAAAAAACTAAAAACAAAGATGAGTCGTTAGGGTGTTAGTACATTAGTCGGTTAGTAAAATGACACATTGCATGAATGATCTTGTGTTAGTTTTTCAAAAAAAGGTACCCAACACAGAAGAAGAGAGCGGGGAAGACAATGAGACCAGGACTCTATGAAAACTTTGCCACCTGGAGAGCGTCAGGTGAAGGGGCTGCCTCCCACTTTGTCATTGTAAGTCCCCACTTGCCAAACACCTCTGACCAGAGACCTCACCCCAGTTAGTGTTAGCACCATACTTACACTCCCAGCAATCCTCTGAGTGAACATTGACCCCTGGCCCTTCCCACCCCATAATACATTCACACTCCACTTGTCCTGAAAGAAAAGGCCCCCAATGTTTATCATTTCCCATGTTCATAGAAAAAGTGGAAATACCGATATGTTGGGGACTTTTTTTTTTGTTTCATATCTGACACTGACTAAATGGATGGACGATCATGACTTTCTCCTAGAAAGAAAAGAGCTTAAAGCATTTCTAGATCGCAGCTGGTACAGGGAAGATATATATCATGTAGCTTTATCTGAGCTTCCATAAGTAAGCTGAAAAAATCTATGTGTCTCCTTGATTTTTGTAGGTGAGTGCGGGGAGAAGAGGAACCATTATCTTTCATTTTATATCTGTTTAGCATGCTCATGTTATTAGAATGTAGTTTACAAGTTAGAATCTTGGGCTTTTTACTCAGATGAGTTGACCATTCTGATTATTTTGTCAGAATGCTTCTTGTTGTAACCTGCCTACACTTAGGATGTTCTAACCATGCTCTTCAAAGTTTTAAGCCATATCCTAGAAGGGCAGTAAGAAAGACTGGCAGTTCAACATTATAAAAGAACTTACAGAATGAGTATTCTCATTGCTCATTTCAAGGCTTAATTGCCAACATATCCTCAGCTGGGAGGTTGAAGAGCTGGAGAAACTGGTAATCTATCTGCTCTTACGTGTTGTATGACAAAAATGGCATCGAGAAGTAAAGCAATTCATATGATATGGTCATGACCTTATGTTTAAGCATGGTTACAGACACCTTTAAAAGAAGTAAAAAAGAAACGTAAGTGTTCCCACACTCTGGTAGTCTAGTGGGTAAAGAGCTGCATCGCTAATCCAAAGGTGGTACTTCTCTGATGGTTCAACTCCACAGGAGAAAAATGGGCAGTCTCCTCCCATGCAATTTACAGCTTCCAAGAATCCACTGCAGGGTCAGCTAAGAGTCTATTCCAACTCCAAGGCAATTAGCTAAGCTGAGTTGACTGCAGCCACCAATCTCAATTATAATTAGGAACAGATAATCTCCACTGCCTTTACTTAATACAGTATCTGCCCTTGGTCCCGATTTGGCTCAAAGGCAGAAGCATCAGTTGATAACTGCAGGAGAAAAATAGGAAAAGTTCTGCTCCATTTGCCAATGGATACTTCAGGGAACCCTATCTGAGCTTTCTGCAGGTAAATGTTCCTCTGAAAGCTCTCTAGCCTTATAGACTCAATGGAAAAGCCTGACATCAACTGGCTTACGATGTCCATAAACCCCTTTGCAGTTCATGTCAGAGACAAGGGCCTACCAATCCTTCAAATGTTTCCTAGGGAACTTAAAAAAAGATGCTATAAATGTGTTTAAAGGGAGAAATAATAATCTTAGAGGATGCAGTGTTGAAATTATTACAGTTAAAAGATTAACTCTGGTTTTCTGAGATTTCTGTGTCTTTCAGTGAATTGTATTAGGCTATGCATACATAGTTAGGAGTTACATGAGGCCTAGTTTAGTGACACAAGAATGTTTCTGGTGACATAGACACTAATGCACCAGGTTGCTAACTGAAAGGTTGGTAGTTTGAACTCATCAGCTGCTCAAAGGGGGAAAAAAGATATCATAGCCTACTTTTGTAAATATGTATCACTTTAGTTACTCTGTGGGACAGATCTAGTCTGTCTAATAGGGGCTGCTTTGCATCACAATAGACTTATTAGCAGTGATTTCATTAAGTGGGTTATTGTTGTTTTTCCTACAAATAAATACTCCTACATCCTAGGACCACTAAAGCCTTGTCTGAAACCAAGAACTCTACTTAACTGCTTCTGTGGCACCAGGCAGACACAGTCACCTTTGAAACAGAATGGGGGCCTTGTAAATCATGTATCTGTCACAGCAAATCTAGCACCCAGACCATGGATGAGCTCATAATCCTTCTGGAGCATAAGGTGCTTTGCATATTCAGCCACCACACATGGCTGGGGAGGGTTGTAATCACCATTTCACAAATGGAAACTAGTGTAGAAAGGTCACACGGCTTATCCAAGGGCACAGAGATGAGCTGGGCTTTAGGACTTAGAGTGGAAAGGACTCCAGTTGGTTTTTCTCTGACTGGCCCACCTAAGACTCCATCATCAGTATTTGCCTTTTGTTTTACACTCTCTCCTCTTAAAGGACTTAATTGAGGTCTGATGAATTTTGGAATACTGGAGTTTTAAGTAGAAATACAAGCACACCTCACCTAATGGGAATCAATCCTGAATAGCAAGAAAGTATGTGTGGTTGGAGAGTTGAAGAACCTGACTGATTAGTGAGATCTCAGCTGATTCTGTTCCCCTGTCTATGAAAAGTTTCTCCTTAACCAACATAAACCTAAAGGGTATCATTGTATACTGTCCATCAAAGCTGGCAAAAGGTCACACTTCCACTGTTTGGCCCAGTCTTTGCAGACCAAGCACAGCAAGTCCTTTTGTGTTAGCAAATGGAAATCTGATGTGTGTTCTCTTGATGGCTGGGTGTGTATAGGAAAGAGCGTGTGGTGGGGAGAAAAAAAAACAACCAAAAACCCAACATCAGCAATAGGGTTATTTGACCTTGGAGGAAAAGCAAAGAACAATGGTTCCAAAATGTCTAATCTATGTGTGTTAAAATGCCTATATCGACATTACTTGAGCTGTTTGCATTACCTTCAGCACAGATAGAATGGGTTCTCCGAGTCAGGTGGCTTCCTCTACATATTTCAGTGTGGAAATGACTGTTGCACTATTGTCGTTTCAATAGCAGCAGGCCTATGCCAACATTCAGATTAGTAAGGAATCATGCATTTATCAAACAGAAAACATACATACGCAGCTGTCATTTCTTGGACTTTCATGTTTATAGTGGAAGACATTAAATCAATCATATCACAGAAGAGCATTTGAAAAGCACTGGGCATCTACATGGTGTTTTCTGATTAATAAAGGATGAATGTGGTCCAAGTGGGTTTAGTGACAAGTTCTCAAGTTGACAAACCAAGTGGAAATGGCAACCTGCAAAAGACCATCTCACTATCAACCTTAACTGTTCTAGAAAAATTATTTCTGTTTCCTGATGTGAGGTGGTGAAGGACTGCATTTGCTATTATTATTATTAGTAATTAGTAAGTTGAAAACAATTTCACTTGACTAGCACTCTTTGGGAGCATTGTCACCGGACGGAGTCACCTGCTTAGAACCGACAAGTGATGGGAGTTCTCAAACACGCTCAGAACCGGGAGAGGCTGCTCCAAAGTTGCCTTTTTATTTGGGTCCTTCCACTTGCCAGGCCTCCCAGTCAACTGAAGAGTCTCGGAGGGAGAGACAGGGGTAATGCATAGGACCACAGCACCAAGGAACAGAGAAACAGAGGAATTCAGAAAGTCCAACTAATTAATTCTCAGGTTAGAGGTTAAAATCACAGAAGGAACAAAAACAGCAGCGGGTGGTAAATTAAAAAGGAAGAGAGAAAGAAAGACTTTTCTGGGAGGGATTAAAATTATGGCATTATGGCAATGGCTAACTTAATTAAAAAAGAAAAACATACATTCAAAGAATGAGGAAAAGCTACCAGGCTGCAGAAACAGAACGCTGTTCCTAATTGAATTTAACAATAACATGATAAGATTCAAATGTAATTAAGAAAATGATAAAAAAGGAAAGCAGAATAAAAAGTGATGAAAGTACTCGTCACTTTTATTATCTACACAACTGACTTCCCCCCCCCTTAAATAATAAGCATAAGTGGAGAACGGAACAATGAGGAGAAAACACATTTTCATAATTTCTCTAGTGAAACGGCAAAGCCTGAGAGAAGATCAGACTTTGACAGCTCCAAATGAGCATCTCTATGCTTTCCCCTCGCCCATCACCCGCTCAAATAGTTCCTCCCACACTGTTTTTAGAACGTGCCTTGCAGGCCTCTCTCCCCTCAACCATTACCTGCCGGAGGTTGCGGGTCACTTTGACATCATGCCAGGCGTTGTCGTTGAACTTGCCATTCACGGGCTCCACAATGGCCTCAAAAGCCCCGGACCCCAGATTAATGACCAAGGAGACCGCACCATCCTTCAGAGCCAGGTTGACGTAGTCAGCTGACTTGCCCGTGTGCAGGATGAGCCCATTGCGCTGCCAGGTCTTAAAGGAGAGCGTGATCTCATCGCTGCTGCTCTGGATGGGGTTCTGAGACAGGTCATAGCACAGGTACTCCGAGCCCCGGAAAGTGGCCACATTCTCCTCTCGAGCTGTAACAAAAGGCAAGGGGGTGGGGGGAATAGTCAATCCTTGTTTGGCGTGAGTCAAGATGATCCAAATACCAAGAGAATGTACCCCAGAGCCATTGCTCTGGATATACTCTCCAGAGCTTCCATCAGCAAATATATCAAATACCTGGGAGACTAGCAAAGAAGGGGACCACACAAGGATAGAAGACAAATAAGATCTTGCAGGAAGAGTTTACTGCCATCCCTTCCAGATTTCTTCAGAGTAAAAACCTTAAAGGAATTTGCATGCAGAATGGTGAAGTGAGGCATACAATGCTTTAGTTTCAGTGATGGCTTTTAAAAACTTGCAGAAGAGTTGCCTTGGAATGGATAATTAAGTGGTTTGACAAAGGACTCTTTAGCTCTAGGTGCTTTTTATTGACTAGTAACTGAAGATCAACTATCCTGAAAGATTTGCCTGTGATTTCCATCCATCAATTACACAGCTAACTTTAGTTTCCTGGTACAGTCCTGAGCTCTGTGGAATGTGACTACATTATTTAACAGAAAGCTGGACCTGAGAAGATTATCAAACAGATTAGAAAAGGGGAGAAGTATGAAATGTGGTGTTTTACTTTGACCATACATCAGTATGACTGTTGTTGTTATTGTTGTTGCTGTTGTTGTGTACCAATGAGTCGGAACTGAACCATAGCTGACCCTCTGATCTGTTTTCAGAGGGAGTTAATCACACAGGAGGAAAACTGCCTGTCTTTCTCCCACTGAGCAGCTGGTGGCCTCAAACCATGGGCCTTCAGGATTGCAGCAAAGCTTCTTGCCACTAGGCTACCAGAGCTCCCTCATATGACTCTTAGACTTAAGCAAAAGGAGTCTCTGCTCTAGGTCCCCTGTTTTAGTTGACCCTGGTCTTACGTTCCTATGCCCACATTCCTCTCCTTAGGACTGGTGTGCACAAAACAAAGATGGCAGAGCACTTGGACTCCACATTCTCCTTCAGTTAATGACAGCTACTGGGCTCTTGTCATTCCTTGTCAACAAATACCCAGAACTGTTTCCATGACTTCTATGTACTTTTTTCCTAGGACTTTCTCAAGACAAACCATGATGTCAAGTTGCCCCAAAGGAAGCCAGAGAGGGCAGCTTTGAGGGGCGTGGACGGAAGTGAAGATAAGCATTTATCAATGTCCTTTGTGATATTTAGTGGAATGGGAACAGACGAGGACAGACTACAGGCTGAGAACCAGAGAGTTGGCCCATTGCCACCACTTCTAATGCAGCACTCGGGAGAATCCCAATATCCTAAATTTAAATTCACTTTCCAAGTAGTTATAATAAATGCACTTGCCAAAGTAAGAGGACAGAGCATATTTTACTTAACCATTTGTGGGTTTATGATTTTGATATGTCACATATGCATGAACGTTCCTTTCTTAGCAGACACTTAGCTGACCAATTTTACCTCAAGCTTGACAAAAGACAGTAAAAACATCTTTTTAATGAATGGAAATTGCCAGAAATACAAGTTTAAATATACATTTTTTTTTCCTCTAAAAAGTGGAAAGTACAAAATGAGGTTAAAAGGATGTCTATTTTCACTGCCAGAAATACACTCCTATCTTATTAACCAGTCGAGTCTACTTCAGCCTAGTTCCTTCCTTATCATTTATCACAGCTCTAGTAAAAGAAAATACTATTTCATCATGAGAGGAGCACTATAAAGGAGCCAATATCATGGTGTGGAGAGGTACTATATGTTTTAAAATTAAATGTAGCATTAAGACATTGTGAAAGCATGAAGCTCAACGTCACATTCTAGTGAGTTAAGGAAGAAAGTGAGTTCCTTTCATGCGTTCCAGGCAGCCTCAACAATAAGGATCTGACTATGAATGTTTACTTCCATTTTCAAATATATGGAGATACAAACAAAAGGGACTCAGTAACCTCAAGTCACCACAAAGTACCTTACAGATTTATCAGTCCCAACACTCCACTTGAATCCTAGAACATACGTTACATATTTTACTACATTTATTATAGGAATATACTGTCAAGTTGAGATTGACTCAAAACTGACTTTACAGTGGTTTTCAGAGGCTGTAAATCGCTCAAGAGGAGATGGTGGGTTCAAACCATATGCCTTTTGACTTGGCAGTGCAACTCCATAAATAGTTTAAAAAAATAGCAGAAGGGAGAATTTTTATACTGTTTCCATGCTTGGAATAGACCCAACCAAGTCACTAGATCTCTGTTGCAATGATCTTTCCATTAATTTTTTTAAAAACATCATTTTGTTAAAATGAAACAGGACGAGCCCTCTCTCCTGGAGGTGACCTGATCTAGGGTACAAAGTGGCAAATGAAATTCACTTATCACAACCAAGATCTTCTCCTACAGATCTGGATATGCACCCTCAAATACGGGGTATGTCCTTGGCATTGCACATGGCTTATTAATAGGTGTCTTCTATAAACATTTAAGTTAAACCTTGTGTGGCTACTGAACTGAGATAAATGAGCAAAGAAAAGAGCACCTCTTAAGAGAAGCTTAATCACCAAGTACCCTTCAAAAGGGGAAAGTATGACACAGAATAGCAAGGCACCAGGATATTATTTAATACACTAGACAGTGTTCAATATTTTTTTATATAATTACATCAAGGAGTCTGCCAAAATAATAAATTTTAGAACTGTAGGCAATTTTAAAGATTGCCTAGTTCAGAACTCTTACTTTATTAAGAAACTGGGGCCTGGGGATGATAAATGCCTTCCCAAGACCATGCAGTCTGTATGCAGTGCCTAGAGCCCTGAGGATGTTCATCTGGACATTGGTTCCTAAGCCATGATATTTCCAGTTGCTTCACAGTTATCTGAAAGTTGGATAATAGATAAAGATGACTGAATAAGAAATCATGGCTTTGAATTATGGCTTGGTAAAGAATACTTATCCCATGCCCAAAGAATAAGCAATAATATGTCTTGAAGAAAGTCCAACCCATGTACTCCTCAGAGTCAAGCATAGTGAAGTGTTTTCTCACATTCTGTGGGTATGTTTTCAGAAGGGGCAGTCATCATCATCATTCTGACTGGAAAAAGACATAATTCTGGGGAGGTTAGAAGGTCAGGGAAAGAGGGGAAGATCCCTAACAAGATGGATTGTCACAGTGACTTTCACATGGACTCGAGTAAATCAAAGATTGTGAAAATGGAGTAGGTTAGAGCAAGGCTAGGGTCTATTGTTTGTTTTGGTTTGCTTTTTTTGACTATTTAATTTTACATTAGGGACCTCTCCAAGGTACTGAAGAGCAATGGTGTCACTCTGGAGACTAAGGTGCATCTGATACAGGCTATGGTCTTTGCAATTACTTGCTATGCATCAGAGAGTTAGACAATGACTAGGGAGGACAGAAGGAGAATTGATGCCTTTGAGCTGTGGCGCTGGAAAAGAGTATTGAATGTACCATGGACTGCCAAGAAAAAAAAAAAAACAGATTCATCCTGGAGAGGGTTAAACCAGGCTGCTCCTCAGAGGCAAGGATTTTGGGGCTTCATCCGACATACTTTGGACATGTTGTAAGGAGGGACAGGTCCTTGAAGAGGGACATCATGCTTGGGAGGGTGGCGGGATGGCATAGGAGGGGAAGACCCTCTATGAGGTGGACTGATTCAGTGACTGGGGTGATCGGGATGTGTGTGTCAGAGGCAGTGTGATTTGCACAGGATAGAGCAGGGTTTAGGGCTGTTGTACATAGGGGTCACTATGAGTTGCAGGCGACTTGACGGCACAAAACAACAACAACAAACATTAATTTTAATGAAAACTTACAGACTTTGGATTTCCATTCATTCATTGTTGCCCTTTTCTCTCTGCCCACCCCACGCTCCCCAGTTTGCTCTTCTCTTTGAAAAGTAAAAGAAAAATTCTTTCATTGTTATACAATCCCTCCCCCCAAGTCCACTCCACTATGCAGCTTTCATTCTGGACTCCTGTTATGACAATAATTCTTAATCATTTATCCCTTTTAAACAATTCTCTCCCTCATCTATTTCAATGTAGTATACATAATTTATTCCATCTTTCTCAGTCTCCCCCCAACCCCAATGTTGTAACTGTTGTAATGGTCAAGACAGCATGGTCCTGGTATAATGACAGACACATAGATCAATGGAATACAATTGAGAACCCAGAAATCAGCCCATCTACCTATGGTCAACTGGTTTTTGACAAGGAGACAAAAGGTCTATTTGTTTTGAGGGTTGTTATGAGTCATATTTGACCCAATGTACATAGTAACAATACACAACATCAGTTAACTTTTCATTTTCCTGGAGTCACTGGATGGTGGAGACATACATGGCTTCTAGCTAGAGGCTGAAGGTGTGAATCTATCCAGAGACACTTCAGAAGGCAGGCCTATTTAACTACTTCTAACAGATCATCCATTGAAAACCCTGTTGCACAGTTTTATTCCAACATTCATGATGGAGGCAAAAATTATACTCAATGACAGCTAGTACTGTTGCTCTGTGCCTGTGCCCAGCACCTAGGCATACCACATTCTCTCCTCCAGCTCTACTTCTCAAAGACTGTTAACGATTCTGGGAAGTCATTCATTGACTATCAAACAATTTCAGACATTGCTTAACTGAGCCCAGGAACTTGCTTATTCCCCCAAATCACTTTTGCTCACCAGAATGACGGTATCCTTTTGCCTGGCTTCTAGATGTGTTTAAAATAAAAGAATTTCTTTTGTGGGGGAAGTCAAAGGCAGGTGAAATGACATTGGTAAAAAAAGTGAATGCCACAAGAAATAAACAAGAAATATGACTGATGTTAGGAGGGAATAAATCTATCAAAATTGCATGCATATTTATGCTAATCTCCATGTAAATATACCAGGGAAGATCTTATGCATTTGAGCGCCTTCCTCCAAATATCTAATGAAAATGGCTGGAACAGCTCACAACCCTTCCAGTCTTAGTGTAATAATGAATTTCCCCCTGGGACAGAGTAAGCAA